TGCTTCATTTCTGATGCTACAGCATAGCATACAATTTTGGCCAGTGTTCATTATACCTGAGAGCTTTGTTTCTCCATTAATGAACTCATTGGGCATGGTGACCACAGCTTCACACGTGATACATCATGCCAGTACCACAGGAGGCAGACTGTGAAGCAACAGTAGAAAAAGCACTGAAGTACAGTAATGCAGCTCTGTGGGTTTGAGGAGCCATGAGACGGCATCACAGGTCAATGCTTTTCTATTCTTGGCTTTAGGAAGATGGCAGCTAAAATGATTTTGCTTTCTGATTCTGGGTGGTATTGTTTGAAGCGGGAGTACTAGCGACCTTCTGCTTCTTTTCTAGGTTCCGATGGAGGAGGAGGTTGCTGGTGATCTCTGCTCCTAATGATGAAGACTGGGCCTATTCACAGCAGCTCTCTGCTCTCAGTGGACAGGCATGCAATTTTGGTGAGTGGGAACTCACCTCATTTCTGCTTTCCCATACCATTCTCTTCCTAGGAAATTATAAAATGAAACATAAATGCTTAAAACACCTAAATGCAGTCCCTGGTTCAGACTGCAGATTCCCACCCAGACACATCTTCTGTAATACTGAATATAAAGTTGTGTACAGACTGGAGCTTTAGTCGACTAAAGATTTATTTTCTATCTTATATCTTATCATGTTCTTCACTGGAAAAACATGTATAGCTTTACTTTTAATGATCTGTATTATTTGTCTTCTGTTCTTTCTTTTTAAACCTACTTCACAATGATAACACTTAGGTATTATTATTTACTTAGGTAGTAATTGGCATTCACATAGGTAGCATCAAAGTATGCTTCTCCAATTAAATATGTTTTGTAACAAAGGAATGGCCTTGGGAAATCATATCAATTTGAATAGACTATATCATATTATCCTTTCTCTTAAAGAGGATTTTAATCTATTCTGGGAATGAAAAAGACAGCAAGATCTGTGTAAATTGAACCTTGTTTTTAACATGTTCCTGCTGGCTTGAGCCACTGATGATACATACATGATAGGCCTAGTAAGTGGCCTGTAGCACCCAATTGGAATATGTTATGTCATGCAATGAGACATCCATGCATATACCACTTATGGTTCATGCCAGCGGGAATAAAA